AAATAATTTTCTCAAATCCATTATAGACAGACTTGTAAAATAAAGCCAACACATTTATACAAACAGAAACAGAAAATTGAAACCTAGCAATCTAGCTCTGCTCAGGTAGTTCTATAACAATTTAAGTACATCTGACTCTCCAAAAGAATTAAACCTTTCAGGCCTACATTCCTAATTTAACATTTGATAGTAACTACATATCCCCAATACAATATGAACCTCTCCAAAAAAAAACCTACCAAAAAAAATACAACTTACCAAAACTTTCTGCCCACATTATTTATACCTTAAGGCCCCATTATATTATCACACACTGCTATTAAAGTAAGCCTTATTCTTTAACATGTAGCATCTACACAGTAAAATGCAGAAACTGAACTGCTCATATGCATTAAAGAACAAAACTGTACTTAGGTATAAATTAATTCTTTTCAGTAAACAGACATTTTAAACCAAATATGCTACTGGTGATTAAATTTTGAATCTAGTTAAAACAATGAAAAATAATTATTAAACTCTCAATAAACCTATGCTATTTTTATATACATTTACCATTACAGTGAAAAATAAATAAATCCATACCTTTTTCTCCTTAGATTTCTGTGCAGTATGAGAGGGGACATTCTCATTTTGGTGAACAAACTCTTGAGCTACAACTGTTTTTACAGGGTCTCCTTCAAGAACACATTTTAGAAACTGCACTGTTTGTTCTAAACAATAGCTGTATAAAGTTTAAGTACAAAAATAATGTCAATAGATGAAAACACAATTTATATGGAAACATTAACATAAGCAATCCTATAAGCATTCTGTAACAATGTGAAAAACTCACATTTAAATTAAGTCCTCACCTTGTTTTTCAAAGTTTAAAAAAGTGATTACTGAAAAATTGCCCAGTAATTAGCACAGAAGCTAGTTGTCAAAAAGTAAATATCAAAAAGTAACACTGATAATTCAATTTCTGATCTTTTATTACAGACAGATTGTTGTTGTTGCTGTGTGCCATCAAGTCGGACCCAACTCATAGCGACCCCTCCTTGGGTTTCCGAGGCAGTTATCACTACAGAAGTAGATTGCCCCATCTTCCTTCCAAGGAATGGCTGGTGGGTTTGAACCGCCAGCCTTCTGGTTAGCACTCTCTTTTATTATATGACCTATACACTTTAAGTCTTTTGCTAGAGTCAAACATGGTTTCAGTTTCCTTTGAACATCAAAAACAGATAACACACCATTAAGTTGACACTTAGATTGTATCAAATCTCACTTTCCACTTACACCATGTGTTCTAGACAAAGAAATTCTAAGCGGGGTACAGAAAGGGGAAATAAAAACTATCACATCTCTCATCCACATATTAGAACATCATCTTTAGTATGAAATTCTACAGATCGACAAACATCTTAAACACACACTTTCAATACATAAACAAACACATTCCAAAAACAAATTATAAATAATTTTATACTTCTACTCATAATCTGTCCTGAAAGAAGTGCAGCTGGAATGCTCCTTAGAAGCAAGAATGGCCAAACTTCGTCTCACTTAGTTCAGTCACATTGTTAGAAGGGAACATTCCCTGGAGAAGGATATCATGTTTGGTCAGGTAGAGGGTCAGCAAAAAAAAGGGAAGAACTTCAACAAGATAGACTGACACAGTGACTACAACAATGGGCTTAAATATAGCAAGGACTGTAAGGATAGCGCACAACCAGGCAGTTTGGTTCTGTTGTACATGGGGTTCCTATGAGTCAGTGAGCACCGATTCAATAGCACCTAACAATGACAACAACATTCATTATTTCATTCTACATATGCTCCCGATTTCTGGCAGATAATGAAGAGGTTGGCTCCATCACCTGTCTGTCAGTTTGTCATACTGTGGGTGGCTTGTGTGTTGTTGTGAGGCTGGAGGCTATGAGACCAGTATTTCAAATACCAGCAGGGTCACCCATGGTAGACAGGTTTCAGCAGAGCTTCCAGACTAAGAGATTCGGAAGAAGGAAGAGGCCATCCACTTCTCAAAGAATCAGCCAGCGAAAATCTTATGAATTGCAGTGAAACAATGTCTGATATGTTACTGGAAAACTTTATGAATAGCCATGAAACATTGATCAATATAGTGCTGGAAGATAAGCCCCTAAGGTCGAAAGGCACCCAAACAAAACTGGAGAAGAGCCTCCTCATAGTAGAGCCAACCTCGATGATGTGGATGGAATAAAGCTTTTGGGGCTTCCATCTAGTGATGAGGCCGACTCAAAATGAGAAGAAACAGCTGCAAACATCCATTAATAGCTAGAACATGGAATGTACAAAGTATGAATCTAGGAAAATTGGAAGTTATAAAAAATGAAATGGAACACATAAAGATCAATATCCTAAGCATCAGTGACCTGAAATGGACTGGTTTTGGCCACTCTGAATCAGACAACCATGTGATCTACTATGACGGGAATAACAAATTGAAGAATGGCATGCCATTCATCATCACAAAGAATGTTTCAAGGTCTATCCTGAAGTACAATGTTGTCAGTGATAGGATAATATTCTTACACCTACAAGGAAAACCAATTAATACTACTATTATTCACATTTATGTACCAACAACCAAAGTCAAAGACAAGGAAATTAAACATTTTTACCAATTTCTGCAGTCTGATATTGACCAAACATGCAATCAAGATATTTTGATTATAACTGGTGTTTGGAATGCAAAAGTTGTAAACAAAGAAGAATCACCAGTAATTGGAAAATATGGCCTCAGTGACAGATATAACACTGGAGATAGCATGATAGAATTTTGCAAGACCAACGACTTATTCATTGCAAATAATTTTTTAACAACATAAACAGCAGCTGTACATGTGAACTTCACCAGATGGAGTACACAGGAATCAGATCAACTACATCTGTGGAAAGAGGTGATGGAGAAGCTTAATAGCTTCAGCAAAAACAAGGCCAGGTGTGGAAAGCCGAGAACAGACTAACAACAGCTCATAGGCAAATTCCACTTGAAGCTAAAAACAATTAAAACAAGTCCAAGAGAGGCAACATATGACCTTGATTATATCCCTCCTGAATTTAGAGATGATCTAAAGAATAGATGTGATGTATTGACCATGAATGACTGAAACCCAGAGGAATTATGGGATGATATCAAGAACATCATCCATGAAAAAAGCAAAAGTCCACTGAAAAGTCAGGAAAGGAAGACCAAAATGGATGTCAGAAGAGACTCTGAAACTTGCCCTTGAGTAGAGAGTAGCTAAAGCAAATGGAAGAAATGACAAGACAAAAGAGCTGAAGAGAAGATTTCAAAGAGCAGCTCCAAAAGAAAATGTCAATTATAATGAAATGTGCAAAGACCTGGAGCTAGAGAATCAAAAGGGAAGAACATGCTCGGCATTTCTCAAGCTGAAAGAACTGAGGAAAAAATTTAAACCTCAAGTTGCAATACTGAAAGATTCTACAGGCAAAATATTGAATGATCCAGGAAACAACAAAAGAAGATGGAAGGAATACACAGAGTCACTATACCAAAAAGAACTGGTCAATGTTCATCCATTTCAGAAGGTGGCATATGATCAAAAACCAATGGTATTGAAGGAAGAAGTCAAAGCTTCACTTAAGGAATTGGCAAAGAACAGGGCTCCAAGAATTGACAGAATACCCATTAAACAAAGCAAAGTTGTGTCATCTGCATATCACAGGTTGTTAATGGGTCTTCCTCCAATCCTGATACCATGTTCTTCCTCATATAATCTAGCTTCTTGGATTATCTGTTCAGCATACAGATTGAGTAAGTATGGTGAAAGGACACAACCCTGTTGCACCACTTCCTGATTTAAGCCATGCAGTATCCCCTTGGTCTATGTACAGTTTTCTCATAAGCACAATTAAGTGTTCTGCAATTCCCATTCTTCCCAATATTATCCACAATTTGTTATGATCCACACTGCATAGTAAACAAAATACAGGTAAATATCTTTTTTGTATTCTTTGCTTTCAACCAAGATCCATCTGACATCAGTAGTGGTATCTCTCACATAACATCCTCTTCTAAATCCAGCTTGAATTTCTGGCAGTTCCCTGTCAATATACTGCTGCAACTGTTTTTAAATTGTTGTTGTTGTTGTTAGGTGCTGTTGAGTTGTTTTCCACTCATAGCGACCCCATGCACAGCAGAACAAAAACACCACACAATCCCACACCAGCTCCATGATCCTTGCTATACTTGAGCCCACTGTCGCAACACTGGTACTTCTGACAACATGACCAAAGTAGGTGAGATGAAGTCTGGCCATTCTCGCTTCTAAGGAGCATTTCGGCTGCACTTCCTCCAGTACAGATCTGTTGGTTCTTTTAGCAGTCCATGGTACTTTCAGCATTTTTCGCCAGCATCATAACTCAAAAGCATCAACTCTTCTTCAGTCTTTCTTATTCACTGACCAGCTCTCACATGCATACAAGGTGACTGAAAATACCATGGTGGCTTGTGTCAGGCACACCTTAGTCCTCAAGGAGACATCCTTGTTCCTCAGCACTTGAAACAGTTCCTTCGGGGCTGACCTGCCCAGTGCTACACGTCATCTAATTCCTTTACTGCTGCTTCCATTGGCATCAACTGTAGAACCAAACAACGTGAATTCTTTGACAACCTCAATCTTTTCTCCATTTATGGTGGTGCTGCTTATTGGTCCAGTTGTGAGGATGTTTATTTTCTTTATATTGAGACATAATTCATACTGCAGACTGTATTCTTTGATCTTCATCAGTAAGTGTCAAGTCATCCTCACTTTCAGCAAGCAAAGCTGTAGAGACTCTGAAACTTCCTCTTGAACAGAGAGCAGCTAAAGCAAATGGAAGAAATGACAAGATAAAAGAGCTGAGTCAGTGTATCTCAGGTTGTTAATGATTCTTCCTCCAATCCTGATGCCACATTTTTTGTCATATAGTCCATTTTCTTGGATTATTTGCTCAGCATATAGATTGAGTAAGTATGGGGAAAGGATACAAAACTGACGCACTCCCTTCTTGATTTTAAACCATGTTCCGTTCAAACAACAACCGCCTGGTCAATGTACAGGTTCCTCATGAGTACAATCGAGTGTCGGGGAATTCCCATTCTTCTCAATGTTCTCCATAATTTGTCACAATCCACACAACCAAATGCCTTTGCATAGTCAATAAAGCACAAGTAAACATCTTTCTGGTATTCTTTGTCTTGAGGCAAGATCCATCTGACAGCAGCTATGATATCCCTTGTTCCATGTCCTCTTCTGAATCCAGCTTGCACCTCTGGAAGTTCTCTTGTCAATATACTGCTGCAACCGTTTTTGAATTATCTTCAGTAAGATCTTACTTGCATGCGATATTAATGATATTGTTCAATAATTTTCACATTCTGTGGGATTATCTTTCATTGGAATGGGCACAAATATGGATCTCTTAAATAAGCATGAAAGAAAGAAGGGCTGCTCAGCCACAGGGAGACAGCTCAAGGGGTAGGAGTGCATGGAGAGATGGATACAGGGAAGAGGTAACTATCGGGAGGAAGTGGGAGGGGAGATGTTGCACTGTGCTAAATTGTGGTCAATGTCATGAGACAAAGTGTATGTGAACTGCTGTATGGAAAGTGTATTTGCTCTGTAAATTTTCACCCAAATCACAATAAAATAAATAAATAAATAGGGATCTCTTCCAGTCAGTTGGCCAGGTAGCT